CTGCTGGTGGTCGTGGTAGTTTCCGTACATGGACCCGCTTGACAACCGTCACCACAATAATCTGATCCCGTTCCACAAGAGCCCCATTTTGATAAACATTGGCTTGAATCAGGACAGGCCATATCACCTTGAGTGTTACTATCACTTATAGTCTCACTAGTTCTCGTGCATGGACCTGCTTGACAACCGTTACCACAATGAGCTGGTCCCGTTCCACAGGAACCCCATTTTGACCGACATTGAGTTGGATGAGGACACTTGACATGAGCATACTTTTTATGAATCAATCTTATGTTACGAAACTCTTTATCGTAATTGTAACCTTGAACATTGAGGAATATATCAACAAAAAGAAGAGAAAAGACTAATATTGAGCAAAACATATTTATATTTGCTCTTGCGAAAATATCTTCTTTATTATCTAAAACAACAGAAAGTACATGAAAATTATTATTTTAATAACTAGATAGAGAGAGAGATTACATAAATGATGAATCAGTAAGAGAAGCTTCGTAGTAAAAGGTTCAATATACACGTTGATTACATTATTTTTGATAGTTTTGTTCACAACATTCTATTTATACAAGACTTCGGATGTTTGCAATTTTTTTTATAGTTAGATAGATCATGAATTACTCCATTGATCTATATAATTGTTATTTTATTTATTTTGCATGTTTTCGAAAAATTTGATAAATTTCAAGAAACGTTGAATTGAAACTTTTGCACGCTCCTATTTCAGTTCAACCAAATTCATTAACGATGAATTTTGGTTTGAATGGAAGAAATTCATCACACCTAAACGTGCAGAAAATATTAAACAGTAGTGATTCGAAATTGAAGAGAAAATTGGATTTTAATGTAAAAATTTGGTCTACTTTTGTTTTTATGCAAAACCAAATTTATATTATCTTTCTCGAAAATTGACTGCTAAAACTTAACATCAATCTTATCAAAATTAGGTAAATCGATAGAGAAATCAACGTTTTATTCAGCTATATATCAAAGAAAAAAGGTTTAAATATTGAAATAACCAAAATTTCTTTGAAAAAAAAAGCCGAAAGCTATATATGGAAAAACTTCACGAAAACATTTTTAAGAAAATCACCAAAGTTCATATTACAGATAGAGGATAAGCCCAATGAAAAATATATAGCTAAATAGAGGAAAAAAACTGGTCTATTATTCTCTATAAAAATAAAAAGTTTCAATACCTCAGTGGATCGTGAAAAAAGCTACCTGAGAAATGATCTCAAAAATTGCTGAATAGAAAATCTTTGAAAACTTTTGCAAAATATATCAAATTCTTGGACAAAATTCAAAGTAAACAAAATGAAAACTATATAGTTAGATAGAATAATTGATGCTCTATCTAACAATATTAATACGAAAATCTTCTAAAGTTTTATATAAGTATAGTAAATTCAGTAACATAATCAAAACTAACATAATCAACTCGTATATTGGTAAACAAAAATGTGAACAAGAGAAAAATTGAAAAATAACAAGCGTTTAAAGCACGTCGACTCAGAAAGGCCTAACACTATGCATTCTTTTTTTTCACATCAACGACATCGAAAACTAAAAGATAAAGAAATACGCAGAGAGCACTTGTTTTTATACTACTGTTTGTTATTGTCATTATGGATGAATAAATATTGAAATTGGATGTCTCTCATATGATAATTAAGAATCATGTAAATGGATGTATTAATCGGCCCTGCCCACAATAGGCTTTCTCTCTTTGTTCAAGCAATTTTTACCGCTATGTCATGATTGTCACATGACATATCTCATACGAAAATAAGCAAAAAACCAATTGAAGAGAAAAAAAGTCACGCGTAAACAATACGTCATTCTCACCTGGCTATATGTAGCTCGATTTTATTTGATTGTCTTTGCATAGTACGATCAAAGCCTATACATTTAGCAATCATCATTGTAGTCAAGGATGTCAAGAATTGAAATTATGTTGCCTATGAATTTCAAGTCAGTTTACTCAATTGTAATTGATGATGTGATCAATCTTTGCAGAATATCACTCTCATTTTTCGTTCTTTTGTTAGGAATTTTATGTTCTTGAAAGGGGGGGGGGCGCATAAGACGTCAAATCAGCCTACGCGTACTTTTCTTTGTCAACCATATTCAATTATATATCAATGAAAAGAGTATGTTGTGATTAACATTATGATACTGGTTTCATGAGGCTTTGATCCAATTTCGAAAGCTAAAAGCTATTAACAAAGTAATGCATTTTTAGTCATTATTCCAATAATCAAAGTATCGCACTGCGGACTCTATTTAATAGGAAGTAGATTACACAAAATATTATTGATATTATGAATTTGATAGCTCTTTGATGAGGATACAGTCCTCTATATAAATTATCAATTGGCTGTTTAATGTAACGAGATATAGAGTGAGTAGACTTAACTCTGCCGGAAAAAAAAATTTCTTTCGTAAACCTTCGATAACTCAAGTTTCTTATATCGTATAAACCTAAATTTTAGTTTCCAGAGTATAGTAAACATTTGTCTATCGATTGATGTTTAGTAAGAAGCGTCATAATAGCATCAGGACCATTGTTAATGGAATTTTTTTTTGATTTTTAAACTGCCAGTATACGTATTTTTTTCTATTTCTGCCGTTTGCATATAAAATGGTAATGAATCTAAAAAAAAAGAAACTCCCTTACTTATTATAAATGACCTCTATTTCAAATAAAAAATATACCCCTCGATTTATTATGTCCGAATATGTTGTTATGTATATAGTTTACTTATGATATCTAAACAGGCTGGATCTTATTAGATTAGATAGATGGATTCATCTCAAAATAGAACAGCAGGTGCGTATACATATATATATATATACATATAACGAGTGCTAGGAGAAACGGACTACATGAATTATGACATCAAAATAAGAGAGAAACTAAAGGAGGAAAACAAGAAAACACTAGAAAAAATACCTGACAGAACGAAAGAAAAAATATATCTATAATTAACAACATATTTATGTAGGAAAAAAAAAAGAGAACAAACATATATAGTTTATATCATTAACAAATTTGTCTTATAGCACGTCTTACATACGTAGCATAACATGATTCCTCTTTATATGACGCATCGATTAATTTTCTTTTTCAAAACCATTCGAATTTATCAATTTTTTCATGTCTTCGATACAAAAATGTGAAGTGAAAGAAAAAAATATATATTTATGTTCCTTATCCCATCACAACATGTTTTCAATATTCTTATTTATGTCGATCAACGTATTTTATTTTACTTGTTCTACCGATAAATTAGGATATATATATATAGAAGCAAATAATTTTACATGCGTTCTAACGTATTGGCTAAATAACGAAAATAAAATACGTTGATCGACATAAATAGGTATAAAATACATACTGAGACATGACAAAGAATACAAATTTTTGTATCGAAGAAGTGAAAAAATTTGATAAATTCAAATTGTTTTGAAAAAAGATCACTGGATATATCATGTTAAGATGGATCGAATGGTATGTGTTTTATTTGAAATAGAGATCATTTATAATAAGTAACAAAGGTTTTTTTTGAGATTCATTATCATTTTACATGCAAATGGCAAAAATCGAAAAAACAAACGCATACTGGCAGTTTAAAAATCGGAAGAAAATTCAATCAACAATGATCCCAGTGCTATTATGACGCTTCTTACTAAACATCAACTGATTATTTTTCAATCAATCGATGGGCAAATGTTTATTCTACTGTGAAAACTAAAATTTAGGTTTGTACGATATCAGAAACTTGAATTATCGAAAGTTTCTGAAAGAAGTATTTTT